CGCCGTAGCGATTTGCTTAAACTCCCTAGCTCGGCGGCGCCATTTGATCATGACTTGTGATATTTCGGCACCGGACAAAAGAGCACTTGTTAATTAACTCTGTGTTATTTCTTAGGAAAAACTTATAAACCACTCTCTAGTCACTGAAATCAACACGCTCAACCAAATTCCCCTCAACTGTTACCTGTACGCCTAACAAACATATCGAACGCACTCTCCTAAGCTCCGATTACTACTAGTAAGAAAAGAAAGGGAAGTATTATTAATGCAGGGGCTATTATAAATGGCCTTGAATATAAAACCAAAAGTGAACCAGAGCAGCTGTGAAATTTTGTTTGTCGAAGCCAAGAAAGTGTTAAGTAACATTATTTCAATATACAAAAGAAAAAGACCCAATTTGTTTCCACTTTCAAAACACTGTTAAATTTATATGGCGACTCACAAAACTAGTTTCGTCTAACGAACTCTTCAGTTGATCGCCACAGTATTCATTACGTAACAATGCATAAAAAATAAACCCTAGTAACAGGGCCATTGGGATGCGGACGTAGTTCCATTCACTTTTTTTTCACTTATAACCAGAGGGCGTTTCATTCACTACCGGTATCGCTTACGTTTTATTTAAATCAGTCGTAAAACTTTGTAGAAATGAGAACTCTGAGGGTAGAATAAACCGATGAAATATCCTCACGCAAAGAAATCTCGGGACTCCTCTTTGTTGCAATGCCTTGAGAGAATTGTGACTTGGATACTTATCAGAGTTTCAGTCAGAGCAGAGGAAAACGTAGTCTTCGCCTTAAATTGGGAATTGCATTATTATATTTTGATTTCATCAAATTATTGACAAATTGACCGGATGAGATGGAACTATGTTATACGGTTTGATTTTGGACCAATTAGAAAGAATAGAATTTGGATATTTTACATATAATAATCTAACAAACAAATATAGTCTAGTGACAAAATAAATAGCCCATGTTCGATATATTAACATTTTTTTCAGTCTGTTAATTGTCCCATTCGCAAGACCTGGGTCCCATATTAAGGTCCTACACTATCCACAGGGCTCATGCCGTTTTTGCGCAGCTTTTCTATAGGCTCTAATGTCTTAGTAATATTTTTTTTCTTAAGAGTCCTTTATAGTCAACGACTTAAGAACACTTAAGTATAAAAAAATCAAAGCAAACTGTTTTGAAACTCGTGGTCCCGGAGAGGACTTTTCTTTGACCTATCATTTTATCGACGTTACTTCTAAACCGCGAAACCACAATAAAAATCGATAAAAGCCGAGAAAGTACCGATTTGAACTATGGAAAAGGACAATTTCGCTTCTCCTATGGTTCTAAATTTTGAAAGGCTATGACTTATGTACGTCCTTTCACTGTGATTTTACGAAAACTTTTATTTTATTTTTGCCCTTTTTACCAATGGACAACAATTTAAAACTTATGGGTGAAAAAGCAAACACCAAGTCGACTCAAGCCGGAAAGGAACTTTGAGGGTCTGAATGGGGGGTCCACTTGTCGGTTGTCGGTTAAAATTCAGTCACTTTGTCGGTAGTCGGTTAAAATTTCGATCTTTGTCGGTTGTCGGTAAATCTCAGTTAATAATTAAAAATGCATGTTAATTATTATTGTTTGTTTTAAAATTTACCTAGTTTTAAGACTTTGAGTCCCATATAACGTGTAAAACTTGTAACTTGAAATATTTGTCTGATGTTTTTTGAATTCGAATACTCTTGTGTTTTTGTTGTTTTTTTGTCGACCGGAACACGGCTACGGTGGCGTTCGATTGTGACTTTTTCGACCTTTTGGAAAAAACTCACTATACTTTTATGATTCCACTCATGGCTGGACAGACAACGTGGTTGAAATATTACAGCGGGAGGTTTCGTGGGCTCGAGTACCGGAAATTGTTCTGCAAAATGATCCAGCGCTCTCCCGGCCAAAAAGAAAGAAGATGACAGGAAATTCTATAATTACAGTCCACTCCCGATAACTCGAACCCTCGCTAACTTGAACCTCGCGCTAACTCGAACCAAAATCGATAACCCCTGGATTTCCGTCATACATTCACTGTAATTTTACCCTCGGTAACTCGAACCCTCGATAACTTGAACTCCCGCTAACTCGAAACAATTTCCGTTTCCCCTCAGGTCATTTTCTATAATATACTACTACATCAGAAATTTCTGCAATTTGATTGGCTTAGAGCAGTGGTATTTCAGCTTAATTTGAAATACTTACATGTGAAAATTACAAACCTTTTGTGGGTAGTAGTATAAACAACTAATAGCATGATTTGTACGTGATATTTGGCCTAAATACCACTTGTGATATTTCAAAATTGTCTCAAATTTCACTCGCCTAATGGCTCGTGAAATTACGTATAACAATTTCGAAATATCACTCGTGCACTCGTGGTATTTATGTCAAATATCACTACAAATCATGCTATTACCTATACTAATTTTACCATCGATAACTGGAACCATGTTTTGAGTCCTTAAAAGGTCGGGGAAAAGCCGTCTACGGGCGTCCGAAACATTGAATTTTGGATTTCCTATTGACGTGTTGTAGGAGTATAGTTTACTTGTGGAGGCTGCTGTTGATTGTCACAGGCTAACGTGAAGCAGCTTTTCTTCTCAAAACAGTAAAACGCATGCTCTATTTAGGCTATGTTTTGTTACGTTACGTTCTGATTTATAATCTAGAAGTATCTTTCAATTTTCACTTAACATTTCTACAATTAAATGGGATTAAAATGTTCGCTGTGCAGTAAAAACTGCCTTTTACCTTACTCTCGGCTATTTTCTTCGGAATCCCGATAACTCGAACTCCTGATAACTCGAACCTTTTTTCGATTTCCCTTGAAGGTTCGAGTTATCGGGAGCCAACTGTACCTTTAATGTGGTTACTTCGCAAGCAAGAAAAAATACAAAAAGCTCTTCTGATCTCTTCTTTCTGAAAACAAATATCGATATTGGCGGTCCATGTCGATAGTCGGTTAATTTTTTTTTCTGTCGGTAGTCAGTAATTTTTTTTCTCGTTTTGTCGGTAGTCGGTAGTATTTTTCACCCTTTGTCCCTGGTCGGTTAACCCCATTCACACTCTCAACTTTGGTTTGAGAGACTCAAACATCAAAAGGCAAACTAGTACGACAGCGTTAGCTAATAAGGAAACTTAAGATGGCTAGACTGGATATTTTTTACAAGGGATACTTCTTAAGTTTGATTATTATTCATTCAAAATATTTCCCTAATTCTGATTGGCTAAAAGCACACACATAATTCACCATAACCAGTTACTGATGACCAAATTTGGAAGAATTTTGAGTTTAACGAGGAAATGACGTCAAAAATGCAGCCCTCTACAGGTTAATGCACCGTTAACCGAGAAGACCTGGGGACGAGGTTGAGTTGTTTTCGTTGTGAAATCTAAAATGGCGGACACTTCACTTTTTTCAAGAGTAAGAACTACAGCTGGAACTAGGCAAAATAATGGCTAAAACATAGCAAAAACAGACACTGGGCTGCTATTTGGAGAATATTTGCGGAGCTGGACAAACCTGAACGCACACTATCGAAGATAAACTTAACGTCGATGCAAGTAAGCATGTTTTAGCTATGTTTTTAAACTAGGAATGATTTTGAATGAATAATAAAGCAATTAATGAATTCGGCTTTCGTTGGATATGAAGAATTAAGCAGATCTCGGAGGGTGTTATCCAGATGGCAATAACTTTAGCGTCACTTTTCATCATGTGAGACGCAGAAATAGAACTCCTTGCAATAGTTTATTTGCATTAATTATGTTTCGTTTTTGCAATACCTGTTTTCAGTCAACTTATTTAGCTTTATTTTCATTGGTACGGAGACCCCTCAACATGACAGGAAAGCAATTGAGGATCCTTCTGAATGCAAATTAGAACAGCTACTACGTACTGCAAATCAAGACGGATATTACAAATTATTACAAAATCGTCCAAAGACGTTCTCTAAACTTAAGGCAAAACTACGTTAAAACTTGTTTGAAGAAAAAGATGGCTTTTCACCGCACCATAGGGATCAATGGGAATCTGAAAAAAATTATCCATGTTGCCTGTATGGATCATACAGATCGTGCCCTAAAGTTTTTAATATTTAATTCACACCTGGCATGGACTGAGGAATGATAGTAAAAACTATCAGTTTTCAGGGAAAGGAAAAAATAATACAATTCTTTTCCAGTACAAAAACAAAAACGTCTAATACTTCATGCTTGTTTAAATTCTAGGAAACTACTTAAAAGAGTTGAATACAATAATTAATGTGGAAAATGAAGTAAGGAAAAAGAAATACTTTAATTTGGTTTGAAACAAAAAGTTTCAATTAGAAATTTCGTCTATACCTCGGAATCGCCGTTTCAAGAGCATCTGACTTATGTAGGGACCTTACGAAACTACGACGGCGACGGCAAGGAGAACGCCTAAAATACAAAAGGCTTGAGTGAGCAAAACGACAGTTCTGGCGGCTCGTGCATCAAGCTTTTCTTTACATTTCTTCGTTGTCCCTACACAGCTACAACGTGGAATAGTCAATTTTTTTTAGTTGACGGGCTTAAGAACTGGAACGACAAGGCGATAAATTTATTTACTATTTCTCTCTGAAACGGGGCCTCCAATATTCAGTTCCAACCTAACACATGTCAACGTACTTTCAATTCACTGGGCGACTTGGTATGACGGCGAAAAAGTTTCATTGGACGCGAAGTCTATTTTTCAGCGACGTATTCATTGGCGTCTCTGTTTTCGGATAGTAAGGTCTCTATTGGATTGTATTCTCATCGTCCTTTGTATTGGTTCTTGTACCCTCCTTAAACACCAGTACTTCCAAACTATGATTTGAGACAAACCGCCAGGGATTTGCAGTCCCCAAAACTGCCGCCTGCGATGCCTGACACAATCCGCTATCAAAGGCAGTTCTGCCAACTAATATTAAGATCTATGTCCTTCAAAAATGATCAAGTGGAAGGCTCTACTCGGTTACTTTTCCGCTTAAAAAAAACCACCTGACTGATAAGCCTTTTAAACTCTTTCTTTATGTCTCTTTTGAAAAAAGCATAACACATTGGGTTAATGGCCGAGTTTAAAACCAATACAGGAATTTTGTATTGATCATCTTTACATGATGCTTTTGTGTCGGATAGTACTACTAAACTACAACGTAAGTATATTCCGTAGCACACAACAAACACTCCTATCACAATACCCATCATTATTACTGCAGACTTCTCGTTATGGGTTTTAAAAGATATCCGTCCTAGGGTGCATGCTGACCGATCATGTTTCCTTACATGAATTAACATTGACACAAAACAGAGTATCTGCAGAACGCATGGAACGATTTCCATGGAAATCATTAAAACCACAACTGCAACGATACTGGTCAGAGGGGTCTCACAGCAAAGCCGAAGTGCGGTCTTGAACGCAACCAACGTAAATGACGCTATCCAACAGGAAGTTATCACTTGAATAACACGAGATCGACTCAGAAAAGTTAAGTACTTAAAAGGCTTTACGATGGCGATATAACGGTCGAGCACCAGAGAACACAAGTTTAAAACAGACAAGTAGCTAAACAGCCACCTTACGACATCTTTCCATGAAAGAAAAACCTGAGGCCAGTCACAGGTGCTTGTAACGTCGCATGCGAACAAAGAAGGAACAACGCTCAAACCAACACAGAAATCCGCTACTGCAAGTGAAACAATAAACGCGTTGGTTTTGGTGCGGAGATTTCGTCTGCTGCAGACGAGGAAGATTATAAATCCATTTCCAGTGATGGCAAGAAACGAAAGAACCCATCCAAGAATCCAAAACCAGGTCTCCATCCGTACTTATTAACTACAGATAAAAGAAAAATATCCTCTTCGCAAAAATGTCAGGAGGTTGTGAGCTATTCTCTGGCAGATGTATGTTACTAGACAGAAGTCCTTTTTATTGTCCTACTTTGTCATAAACTTGGTAATTTCTAATAATTATGTGTTTTGCATGCGCAGTAGGTAACTGACCGAGCTATAATAACACAGTTGGTAGGAAAATGAGGATAGTTGCGTGCTGTAATTGAAAGCCAATGGGCGCTTCCAATACAACAAAAATTCCGGTTAAAATGTTGGAAATTCTGCCTGCCCAGTGGAACTACATCGAGTTGACCCGACCAAATGGTTTTTGTTCCTACAAAAGAGCCGTATTTGAGACAACAATTTTGTCAAATGGAAAGGGACACTCCAACATTGCCGATCTTAATCTAAATAGCTCTGATCTGACTGGATCTTTATTTAAATTCTCTTTACAACTAAACCAGTCTGGCCTGTCAGTTCTAACAGATGGAATTAACCGAAACCTTAGCTGATTAAAAAAAATGTACCTTCTCTTTAGCCTAAATTTCGGCCGACATATTTCTTACAAATTGCGACAGGTCTACAACAAATTACAACAAAGGTGCATTAATAATTAAAAGGCCGGCCATTGGGCATGCAACGATTTTAATATCGTTCCAGCCACAAGCAACTCGTCGCTCCAGTTGGGCTTCCTTAGCAACCAATATTAATTTCTTTGTCATGATTTCTGCGGAATTTAAAGGAAAATTAGCCTCACGTTCGTGTAACCGGGGCGAAAAAGGTGACACATTTGATAGCTACCTTTTCTTTCTCCATAACAAGTCATTTTACACTTAACACGATTTTATCATTTTAACTTCAGTCACACCATCAGGACTGAGCTGAAATAGACTTGCACGGAAAGATTACAAAACTACTACATTTCCTTGTGTTTTTCTCAACAAGGAAATTACTTCATATAACAATAATATCGAACAGTTAATCTTTCAGTTCGGTTTGGGTAAATTCTAGGAATCTATCGCCGTTAACAGAGTTGATTACGAAGACTATTGAGCGAACAACCTCAGTGCGGAGGAAAATTGGCGCCAAGCCTTATGAGGTCACCGAACCTCGAACTTTTGAACTTGTCAATCTTGTTTTCTCTCGTCAAATTGGTATCCAGAGTGTGAGCATCCGTTTCAGTCTGAAATTAACAAACTGATGGTCATAACCGGTGATTCCACTGTACAAAGCGCACGGCTATTAAGCCTGGGTTCCAAACTATATCCAAGCAACAAGCAGCACATGCTCACGCTACCTTTGTTACTCGATTGATGCAGCGTCGTGCTCGAGTATGCCAAAATCGAGCAAGTGAAGCAAAGCGGGCTTTGGTAGCGTGGTATGAACACAAAGTTATACTCTCATGACGTGAAACTAAAAAGTTCCATCCAATAAGAACTTGCGTCTCACACCACCTGTGAACCTTGGTCCTAAGTCCTAATTCCCTCGTATTTTGTATTCTCTGAGGGTCCAAAGGTTCTTGTTTTCTCTCCTAATGCGCCTTTTTTTCCAAATTTCAATTCGCTTTGAGTATAAGCCTCACACATTTATCAGTCTTTTACTGAATTGCTTAAGCCTTTCACACTCGTTCATTAAAGACTTGCATCCTACAATAATGAGTTACGCACGTCCGTGGTAGGCTTTAGTTTACTTTGTTATTTTCTTTAAAACACAGCGCCAACGCAGATGCATCCCATAGCAAACAAGACACACTCCTATCACAAGACCCATCATCATTACTGCAGACTTCTCGTGGAGGATTTTAAACGACATCTGATGGTTAAAACGTAACTGTTTTGCTAAGGTGCGTGCTGACCGATCATGCCTGCGTACGTGAAATATCATTGATGCAAAGCAGAGTGTTAACAGAACACATGGAAGAAACTCGGAAATTATTGTCAGCCAAATAAGAGGGACAGGGACAGGGACAGGGACAGGTATTGTTTTGAAATAAAACATATAAATAGAGGATATTACACAGTGGCGCGAAGATATGAATTTTATTTTCGAGTGACAAAACAATATTTTACGAACGAGCGCAGCGAGTGACTAAAATATTGTTTTTGCCACGAGAAAATAAAATTCATATCTTCAAGCCGCCGAGTAATGTTCTTTTTATTATATAGACAAAAAGACATCGATAAAATAATAGAGGGAAATGACAGAAATTACGTCATCGATAAACTCACGTGTGAGATTATGGAAAATAAACCACTCGGGTCCCTGATGTAGTTTTTATGAATTTTACGAGTGCAATATTTTCCAGTAAAACACTCGTGTCTATATAATAAAGGGTAATCTTTAGCGCGTAAAAACTAACTGGTATAACCCAAGAGAAGAAAATAATTCGGATAATTCGACAGCGAGTCTGAAAGTGATGTATTTTAGAGGATGAACGATGGCAATAAAACGATCCAGTACTAAGACGCATACGTTTACAACAGACTTGTTACTAAGCAACCACCTTATAATATTCACCCAAGATGACCAAGATAGCAAATAATGAGGCCAGTCGCAGGTGTTTGTAATATCGCAGAAGAACAGAGAAGGAATAAAGCTCAAACCAACACAGAAATCCACTACTGCAAGTGAAACAATAAAACTAATAAACGCGTTGGTTTTGGTGCGGAGATCTCGTCTGCTGCAAACGAGGAAGATTGTAAATCCATTTCCAATGATGGTTAGAAATGAAAGAAACCAACCAAGAATCTTGAACCAGGTCTCCATCTTGACTGTTAAAGGAAGTTCTTGTCAACTATGCTGATTAACTAAAAAACTGAGTATTATAATTTACATCTTTGCATGAATTTGAGGGTCACATTTACTAATACCCGTAAATGATTTTACAGACGCCCGCGGCGTTTATTTAATTTTAGGGGTCCAATGGCCAAGAGGGGGGCGTTTAATAGATGTAGGGAGTTTAAAAGAGGAAAGCGTTTGAAGCTCAGTTAAACTAGTATGCTATGGGCGAAAATTCAGTATCAAGAGAGTTAACTGTAAATAGCAGAATATCTGGTCACTCCAACTATTGATACGTCTTAAGGTCTTCAAGAGATCGTATCCCTCTTCCAAATCTCCGACTTTGATCGATGTCAGAATATTTCGGATCACCATATGTTGTCATTATTAGTTTATCCTTATTTTGAGCTTGCCATTGAACAAGATACATTGTTAAGCAAGAAACTGAACCGGCAAATTGAATGATTTTACTCCTTTTTGCCGTTTCCTAGCGTTTCAGAGTAATTGCCGGGGGGGTGTCTTTTAGACAGGGGGCGCTATTAGAGAGGGACGTCTAATACAAACTGCCTGACATCTTAATTATAAGAGGGGCGTTCATTAGACAAAAGGCTTTATTTGAGAGTGGGCGCCCATAACATCATTTACGGTGCGTGTTTCTTATTAGTTCTTTAAATCGTCCTTATTGTAATAACTGCACTGTATTATAACTTCCAATATTTTTGACACTATTTGTAATTAGCCATGATGTCGTATTTTGTAATTATCTTTTTTTTAATAAACGGTAGGAAGAGAGAAGATGTGGACTGTCACATGACAATAGTGACAAGACATCTGTCAATTAAACGATAGAAAGCGTCAGTCACGTGTGTTACCACTTATCTCAATTCATTGTTAATTTGGCTCGCTTAATATTGCTACGTTAATGTATTCCTAATTGCGACAGTTCTTTATTAGAAACTGCGACAGGTGTTACAAATTACAGCAAAAGTTGGGGAAAAAATTGTTAAAAGATTTTTTTTTTCGTTTCCGTTATCCAATTAGAAGAGAGAAGGTAAATTTGCATATCAAAAATTAAAAAGTATACATTTATCAGGAGCGTAGCAAGCGTAGCTACCTGTACGCACGCACGGTACGCACATGCGTACCTGAAAAAGTCGAGGGTGAAAAAAATAATAATAAAATAAGATATGAAAGCGAATAATGAAAAAAAAAGCAAAGGATAAGATAGGTAAAATATAATTATTCACAGTTTGGCTCAATTCATTTAACAACGGATTGTTCAACTTTTAGTTTTAATTACTTCCAAATGTCGACTTCCTTTGGTGGACAAATATTTAATAAAT